GTGTGTGTGTGTGTGTGTGTGTGTGTGTGTGTGTGTGTGTGTGTGTGGTCTTAGTGACGGAGCACGCCAATTATGCAAGGGACCACCTGAGGACGGAGGCGGAGCTGAATAAGTTTGACGGGTGAGAGTTTAGTTCAACAGATGATTTATTACATCACAGAGACCAAAATACACGGAAGGCAGCTAATGACCCGCCAAAATAAAAGCACCACAGAGAACACATCTGTCAGGCTGCTGTTTTACAGAAGCCTTTTTACACTTTGTAGGGACAGTAAACATACTGATTATGAAATAAAAGGCCTTCGTACCCTACAACCTCTCACTGTGACCCCGGCTCAGGGTGGTGTGTGTCGGGGGGGACGGCATGTTCAGTGAGATCATCCACGGGCTGATCTGGAGGACGCAGATAGACGGCGGCGTTGATCCAAACTGTCCGGATGAAGCTCTGCTCCCCGGCTCGCTTCGCATCGGAATCATTCCTGCAGGTCAGAAACACTTCAATACTGATTTTATTTTATTTATTTATTTATTTTATGGTTGATAAAGGACCCTTGAGGAGGCTCGATGGGCCCTTGAGGAGGCCGGAGGGATCCTTGAGTGAATTTAGCATCCGTCATGTTGCTATGGTTAGCTGCAGTTTAAACTTCCAGGCATATTTTCTATGCATTTAAATTGTTCTTTTAATACATGGTATCATTTATTCAGCACAGACTCACAGCCAATCAGAGAGCAGGAGTCTCTGTTACCGGGGTGTAAACGCAGGTAGTGACTGTGTCCTCGTTTTCCAGTTTGTTTGTGTCCTTTTGTGTTTTCTGTTGTTCAGGTGCTCTATAAACACACACACAGTCATCGGGGAGACATTCATTGTCTCTGCAGCAGAAGCAGCTCACCTGGTTAATTACTTCCTGCTGATGCTCGCTGCGCCAGTGAAATGTGCAATTTCAAAAAACTTTGCATGCAAACAGGCAGCATTTGTGAATGATCATTGCTGCTCTTCACCTCACTAGATCATTACACACTCTGTTTGTTTGGGTTTCAGGTTCAACAGACTGCATCTGCTTCGCCACTGTGGGCGCCAACGACCCCATCACCTCAGCGCTGCACATCATTGTGGGTCAGTCTCATGGTGTCACGACACGTCAACATGAATCATTTCAGTTTGTTTACCGTGTTACACACCGGACAAAAGGAAAGGCAAAGGACAAAGAAGGTCTTCCTCCAGTAAAAAATGACATGTCGCCATCATAACTGATAATTAATCAGCAAAATAAAGACACTTTTTGGTCAATGACTTGCCAACATTGTACATTTAAATGCTATATATCTACATGTTTCTCACAAAAACTTCTACTGATGTAGGTTTTGTCCATTTTCCCCATTTTAAAACGGTTTCACCTCGTATGCAAAACTCAAATTTAGAGCTGCAACGATTAGTCGATCAACAGAAAATGAAGTAGTTTGATGATGCAGTTAATAGTTTAAGTAACATTGGCTGGTTTCATGTGGTCGAATGTTAGAAGGTGCTGCTTTTCCTGGTCTTGCATAAATAGTGAACTGAATTGACCGTCAATCGGACAAAACAACACATCTGACGACTTCACCTTGGACTTTGAGAGTCTGGGATGGCGATCTTTTACTGTTTCTGATTTATAGGCCAACTAATGAATCAAATAACTGAGAAAATTGAACATGAATCTCTAATGAAAATAATTGTTAGTTGTAGCCCTTCTCAAATTTGCAATAGAGAGAGATTTTTTGTCGTAATGCCTTTTCCTATTATCTCAGATTATATTGTGTGTTTCAAAATGTCGCCATGTTTTTTTTTTAATCCATATCCAGTTCATCCTCCATCATAGTCGCTCCAAATGTAATGAAAATCCAGTGACGCACATTACTTTGCTTTCTATGGTCTCCTGCTGCCATCTAGTGTTCTTTCAAGTCAACTTTATTGCCCATTCTGCCATGTTGTACGGGACATAATGCTGTTTCTCTCTGACCACGGTGGTGATATATATTTTATACAAAGAACTTTTCAAAACAAAGTTACAAAGTGGTTTACATGGTAGAACCAGAAATATAACATTTAGAACTGCAATGAGGCAAATGGATCAATTGGGACAAATTTAACTCTTAGAGAAATGAAATAAAATAACCAACAATGGTTTAAGATAAAAACGATACATAATAATAATCATAAGCTTTGAAATAAAACAGTGTGCTAGACTTATTAAATAGCTTTTACAAAAAAAGACATTTTGAAGTGTGTCTTTAAAAGTCTAGTTTTTTTTTTTAATGACTCCACATCAGTGTGTTGATTCCTGTGTGTTGATGTGCTCAGGAGACTCTCAGCCGATGGACGTGTGCTCCGTCCACCACAACAACACCTTCCTGCGATACTCCGTCTCTCTGCTGGGTTACGGATTCTACGGCGACGTGCTGACCGACAGTGAGAGGAAGAGATGGATGGGACCAGCCAGATACGACCTCTCGGGTACAACAAGTGTTGAGAAGTTCTCCGGGGCAATCTGTCATTGTGGAGAAACCGAACAAGCTGCTGCTGTTTATTAGCGACCGAAGCTTCCTGTAAACTAAACGGAGGGAAAACAACAACTCAACAACACATTTCTTTGTCACCAAACAGAAGGAAGTCAAAGATAAAACTACAGCTACAAACAGAAGCTCTGAGGCAGATAGAACCGAAAAGACCTGGAAATCCGTCCAGGCTCTTGAGACGAGTTTGCTTGTTTCAGAGCAGTTCTTGTATCAGTAAGGGGAGAGGGTTGGTTTCTGAATGAGTGAAGGGAGGCACAGGATAAGGAAAAAAAGGAATGAATAAATAAATATCATAAAACTGAAACTATAAAGCTACATTTATCAATGTAACAAATATGACTATGAAGTTGCTCATGCTTCCTGTAATAATGATAGTCGAACAAACACCTGATACTTAGTTACTACAAGGAACTTTTATTTTGTGTTGATTGTGGCGACCCCTGTGGACAAAAGTGGTACTGCTTCCCTGTAATCCCTTGATGACGCTATGACTGCAGGTGTGAAGATGTTCCTGACTCATCACTACTATGAAGGAACGGTGTCCTACCTGCCGGCCAGAGGCATCATGGGAACGCCGCGGGACGCCGCCAAGTGTCGATCCGGGTGAGAAAGACTTTATATAATGTACATTTATATATATAATGTCCAAAAATGTACTCTCACTCAGATTCAAAAGTGTGTTTATTTAAGTTGGCTAACGATTCAGGTTAGTACAAAGCTGTAATAATAATGTTAATAATCATCCTATCTGTCAAATTCTTTCAAAACCTCAACTTTTTTTGTTGTGCGTTTTGTGTTCATTTTTGGGAAATGACTTACACTCAAAATACAAACTTAATGAGTCTGTAACCATAACTATATCTATGTAATATCTATGGTGTGTATTATTACATATACATATGTGTAAACTATTTCATGCCATTAGCTCAACTTGTAACACATACAGAACCTCTTTGGTTCAAGTGTTCGGTTTTGGTAACCTAACAGTGTAATTTAGCAACCATCACTATTTGGTTCATGTCAGGTAAGTTTAATTGCCAAAACAGTTCAAGTTAGCTAACGATCCTGTACAGCATCTTCAACGGTTTGCTTTCAAGTTAGCTAACAGCTATGCAGTTAAAACAGAATTCAGCTGACAAGTTCAGTAGCTAAAACTGCTGTTTTCTGGTAACGTTATTTGATTGTTGTTTCATATAAATAACATTGTTGTGTCTGTACATTTCCAGCTGTGTGGTTTGTCAGCACAACGGGCAGCTAAATTCAGAGAAAGCTGAGCGGTACGAGGTGGATGAGGCATCGGACAGCGGTGAGTCCAACGAATTCTCATTCAGAGCTTCTAAAGCACAGCTGGAAAGAAAATTAGTAAACTGTCTTTGGATTAAGATATCCTGTCAGACCAATGGATTTTTACTCAAAAAGGCAGACTTCAGTCAGAATCGGTCACACAGACTGGAATCGGGGGCAAACAGCAGGCCTGGCTTCATTATCCTGTTGTATCTTAGAATATATTTATACCGTATTATGAAATAAAAGTGGTCCATGAATGAAGCCCTGGGGGACACCACAGGATAGTCCTCAGACTCAAATTTACCTCACTGTCTATCCAGTTAGTAGTTATTCTGGAGCTGTCAATCACATCCCATGATCTTCATCAGCAGACCAGTTGAGCATCTCATCCATGTTGGCTTAATAACTGCAACTGACAGAACAATCTCACCACAAGGTCCATTTAGTAGCTGTTCTGGAGGTTTCGATCACATTACCAAGGTCAAGAATTTTGAATCTCAACTTTTTAAAGCTACTCAGTATATTGTGTGATTGTATTCAGATGGACTCTTTTTTTTTTTTTTTTTTTTTCCTAACCATACAAGTATCTGATTGGCCTTGTAGATATTTTAGATGCTAATTAACGTATTAATTGTTCAACCACAGTGTTTGAATGTCAACGTTTTCCACAGTAAAAGCCAAAGTAAAAATGTAGACGTTGGCAGCAGCAAGAAAAGTCAAATCTGTCTTTTGCTGGATTGGTTATAGAAAGTGACAGCGAGTGGAGGACAATCAGAGGGAAGTTCCTGGCCATAAACGCTGCCAGTATGAGCTGTGCTTGTCCTCGTAGCCCCAAAGGCCTCTCCCCCGCCGCTCACCTGGCCGACGGCACCACTGACCTCATCCTGGTCCGAAAATGTTCCCGCTTCGACTTCCTCAGACACCTCCTACGGCACACCAGCAAGGACGACCAGGTAATAGATCAGCATTCTGGTTTTATTGTCTCTCCACATAATCACAACAAAGAGACTGAATCCCAAGATACCAAACACCTGTTACAGTTACTAAAGGTGCTCCTTAGTATCAGGATTTTGCATCATCTGATTGGCTGTTCTGATCGGCCGTTGGTGGAAACCACCGATTGAAGTGTTTAGAACCAATATCGGCCGATCGCCCTCCAGATCTCCCTCACTGTCTCGTTCTGTCTCGACCAGTTTGACCTGAACTTTGTTGAGGTCCACCGGGTGCGGCGTTTCCGCTTCACGCCGCGTCACTGCCAGAGCGACTCAGATCTGGACCTGCGGGAGAGCGGCAAACACCAAATCTTCAGCCAGATCTGCCGAGACCACCCGGCCTGCAGCTGTGCCCCCGTCTACAGCAGCTGGAACTGCGATGGCGAGATCCTGACCCACACGGCCATCGACGTCAGGTACCACGAACCTCTGGGAGTCTCCTACCTAACTATTGTCGTATTTTTCAACCCAGGTTGAATGTCTTTTTAAAAAACATCTCCATTTGTTGTTGTTGTTGTTTTTTCCCCAGAGTGCACTGCCAGTTGATCAACCTGTTCGCACGAGGGATCGAAGAACCGACGGTGTTTGAGGATCTCGCCAACCCCTGTGCAATATAGGGCCACACCCCCATTATTCCCTGTCGGACACTGGATTCGTCTCTCTGTTTTCGGCCTCGACCTACGTCACTGTTGCTGCCGCCATCATGTGACACTCACCACGTCTTTCAACAGGAGGCTCGACAGGATTTACCGAGTTGTGCTGTTACTCAACAAAGATAAGCAGTAGGGAAGGAGACAAGTCTTTACTTTCTGGGTCTGACACGCCAACATTTCCCCACAGACAGGAAGTGAGATGCAGTTTCCTTAGAACGTCTTGCAACAGCTTTAAATGCATTCTCCAGAATCTAGCAGCTGTTCTTAAGAAATAATCGGGTAAATAATTGACTTGGAGAGTAAAGCTTAACCCTCAGATTGTGTTCTAGTTCAAATCGTTGGTGTTGACGGGTGTCTGGCACCTGATTTATTTGTCCTGAAACTGAGCCGTTGAGGTTACAAATCCCTGTAACAGTAACACAATGTAAACAAACAACATGGATTTGTTTTTGCGTTGCCCAGAACATTGACCTGTGTGTCACTGCCTATAGAGTCCACTGAAGTACTCAAATCTGGTTTTAATCTCAAGTCCGGTGTGTTTTTCTGTTGACTTAGACTTGTTTTGGGTCAAATAGATGTTTTGACTTTGACTAATCTCGTCTCTCGGGCTCGTCTCTGTCTTTTGGCTGTTTTTGCTTGAACTTGTCTTGACTCGAGCTTTAGTCGGCCTTCTTGGTATTTTGAAGTGGACTTGTCTGGGTGTTTTGACTTGGAGCTGCCTTGACTCGTACTTGTCTGTCTTGTGGCTGTTTTGACTGACTTGTCATGCGTGATTTGACTCTGCTTCGTCTCGGTGTCGGCCACCACCTGTTACAGACTCAACCGAGTCCAGATGTTTGTTTAGCAGACTGGAGTCAGCTGTTACGGGTCTTGACTCAGACTCAACCCTGTTTGGACTCAGCTTTGACTTGATCAGAAAACTGCTGAATAATGGTTAATATTGCCTTTTGTATTTGTGATTTTATTCTGTTGAAATACTCAACTCCTGTCTTGGTCTACAGATGTTTTATTCTTATACCTTCTGACTCGTTATGGTCTCGCCGATCGTTTAATTTCTGCCTTTTTTGACTCTGACTCGTCTTGATCCTCACCACCAGACATTCTCACCTGTTAATGCCATCTTGATATGAGCTCGACCCCTATTTGGACTTGAAATTGCTCGAACTTGGAGTTGCTCGAACTTCACTCAAATAGTCTGTAAACTAATTTCTAGATTGACTTTTATTTGCTACGTTTGTCATTGTATTTGTCCACGTTCTTCATTAGTGCTGTGGTGCTTCAATCAGGCGTTGAGTCCGGTCTCAAGACGTTTTTTTCTATTAACCTTACTCTGTCGTTTAGATGATTTCACTCTGATTTTTCTGAGTTTCATATTTATTTAGCTTATAAAAATATTGAAAATTGTTACAGAAATTTTAGCTTCTTTGCACTTTTAAATCATTTGGAACGATCATGGATTTTGAATTATCTGTTACATGTGTTAAGGATGCCAGACACCTGCCAGTCATTCCTCGGGTCATGTAGTCATTAGGGGTCAGGGGCTTCATGGAAAATACAAAGTGAATCCCCTGCACATGGTCAGTACTTATAATGCTGACAGGGCATTTATTTTCCAGCAGCTATGTTCTTCAGCTGTGTGAAGATTTCTTTTACTTCTCGATTAGATTTTCCATAGAAAAACCTGAGCTCAATCATACCTATGACATTTCTATTTTTGATGATTTTAATTCCCAGCTATTCAGAAGTGAGTCGGTGAAGCTGGTCGTTGCTGAGTAAACGGAACAGCGCATGCATGAATGTTTTTAATCTTCCATTTCTGCTCAATATGCAAATGAACACCAATGTGTCACTCAAACTGTGCAGATATTCTGTCTTCAAAATCAGCTGAAGGTGTAGCTGTAACTTCAACATGCTCCCGGTGTGCAGTTATGTTTTAAAGATGTTTATCAGCTTTATTTTGTTTTGTAAAACCTCAAGTCAATAATCTGAACCTTCCTCAAATCAAACATGAGTCACATGCAACAAAAGACCAAGAGAATACTAAAACACCCCAAAAAAACACAGAAATGTCTCAACAACTATTGGATCGAGTGCCAGGGTGGTTGGTTGAGATATCCGTGCTCTTGTCGAGAGAGATCCTTTTACAGCTTGTAAACAATGATGACGTACGTTTGACGATGGAAGTACTGCAGAGTGCCAAGTGTCAAGCTATGCAAGGACATTAACCACCAAAGATGGCGAATGCAACCAAAACAAATCTGTGTGCTATCAGTGACTGAGTAGAATACTTTAGCAAGTGGCCCAATATTTAGTGGCCAGATATAAACGTGTAGCGTAACAGCAGCGAGACATTATGAGCTACAAGTCACTAGATGCTTCTAATCAAGTTACTATAGAATGTCAAACACCACGATAGAGACTCAGAGGTTTGACTTCATTCAGGCTTTAAACGGTCCAGTTGTAGCCAACACGGTTAATAGCTTGCCGCCGTAGACTGTGCCGATGTTTCGGGTTAAACCAGTGACAGTGTTAACTGGTGACTCTCAGCTGAATGTGCGTTTAGACAGCTCAGGCCAAACACCACCTCTGTAGCGAACATGCATACTCTAGCATTAGTGATGGCTAACATGTTTGGGGGCTCAACATGTTTTTGTCCTAATACTTAACATCAAACAATCAAATCGGAATTGGTCACAACTATTAGAATATTACTTCACACAAAACAAAATGTTGAATTGTATTGTGTTACTGGAAGGTTCGCATTATTGACAGGAAGTTTTGTGAATTCTTGTTTAGTTGACGGAAGCTGCGCTGTAGAGTCCAGTGTTGATGGTCAACAATCTGCTCAAGAGGATGAACCCTTTCCTCTTCCACCTCCCTCGGGGCAAATTGGCCATTTTTAGCTTCACTAGAAGCTGCAAATCATCAAGATATTCTTTGCAAATGTATTACAAATAATATGAGGTTTTCTTTTTCCAAACCACTTAAAGAGCTCCATTTGTCTGGACAGGAAGTCGGGTACCAGCACTGGACTGTCGGACTGTAGATGCTGTTTCTTTGTGTTTTTGTTTGTTTGTTGACGAGCAATCCTGTTTCCTCTCCGCTGACGTCGAGCTGGACTCGAACTGACGGAGGAGGGAACCAGTAGCAGCTCACGGTGCTCATGAACACCAGCAGGCCAAATACCGGCCGGGGTTCAATGATGTAGCTGTGTCTGTCTGTGACAGTTGTAGCTCAGCCTAGAGGACCTCACCAATCAAAAGAGAATCAGAACCCTACGTACATGCATTCATTTTAAAGGATGTGACGGATTCAAACTGTCTCATGTGGATTAATCTCTTAGCGCTGTATCGATACAATCAGAGTCTTAATATTTGCTGTAAAACCTCCAAACAACAACAAACCAAATGTGTTAATCGTGTGCACACAAAGGTCGACTGGTGATGGACTGAGGTGGTCTTTTAGTTAGAGGATAAGACTTATTTATTTACATTTAGCAATCTAATTATGAATTAAATGTCTTTGTGCCTCAGTATATAGATTTAGTGCCCGGTGAAACCATAAACTCTCATTCATGTTTTTTTTGTGATAATAGTTGGTGCTGGAGAGGTAAATACCTGAGTGAACCTGCTAACCCTAGTCGGCTATAATCTCGTATTATCTAGCTAAGTTGCTAAGAGTTAGCTGGCTTGCTACTAGCTAATGTCGCGTTCACAATTCGTACACCAAAAAGGCCCAGTCACACACAAATAAGTGCAATGAAGAAATTCTCATGTACTTAATGCGCATCTTGATGAAAAAATGGCTTTAAAAGCTTGGTGATGTAGTGACTACACTGTAAAAAAAAAAGTAAGTTTTTATGTGATCGGGTCTTATTTACCAGCAGCCAAGTGGGAAATTACAACATGACACTATAATATCTCCCAATTGGTGAAAATAACTTCTAGTTTCCAAAAACATGCGGTTTTCTTGCTTCCATTCTGCAGACGTAGTTTCTACTAGTTAGCCGTTGGTTAGCTAGCTATGCTAACCGGAGAGTAACGCACAGTTAATTGACAATGCTGCATGACGTACAGCTAACATGACTTTACCGCTCTCTATTCCGGTCAACACTGTCGAGGTGGTTTGAATGTCTTCTTACAAATTAAATTCACTCCCGTTAATCCACTGATTGTTAAGAAATTAACAGATTTTGTCATTACATTTTGCAGTTATACGAATGCTGGGACCTTAAAGCAGTGCAGTAAAATATGTAATAACCTCGATAATGAGATGTAACCAGATCCTCGCTGGTGTTGTATCGGGTATTTTACTAACAGCATGTAGAATGTGTAGAATGAAGGATTAGCTTTGCAAATAATGAATCTTTTTAGTAAATTAGTTTAATCTATAAAATCTGAAAAGTATTTCAAATGTCCATCTTAAGTTTCCAAAGTGGTTTTTAAAACTCCTGGAATGACGTTTTCTTCAGTGAAGCTTCTCCCATTTTAAACCTCTCTAACTAACGGAATGTTTTGAAGGCTATAGTTTAATCCGACGCTGAACATTCGTTTGATTTAATGTGTCTGTCGACCTTGAGCTGTAACTGATCTTTTCCTTCTGCTGTAGCTGTTTCTATTATCAGGAATAAAAAAAAACATTCAACACTTTCTTGTACGAAATTTATGATTTTATTGTTTACATCTGACCGCTGAAGGAGTTATTATCCTGGTGTAAGCCTGTGGGGAGATCATGCATGTTGGTGTGTGTGTGTGCGCAGCTATAATGTTTCATAGCTACTACTGGACCCATCAGGCTGATGTTTCCTGTGCTCATTGATGCTCAAGGACTTTCCTTGTTGCAGGGATTCACACGGTTTGAACTGAAGATTGAGAGGAGCTGTTTCAAGTTAAGTCCTCGGTTCTTCTGCCAACAGCACATGGTCTTTCACTCGCTGCAAATAGATCTGGCCGTAAGAAAAAGAGTTGGCGACACATTACAGGGCACACTGCATTTATTTGTTCACAGCATTGTGCCGTAAATGGAGCCTCCATTTCCTCTGGCAATTGTAAAAGCGAGTCTTACAGAGAACCAATCTAAACACTGATGGTGTTGTTATTCTAAAGCCATTACATTGTGCATTAAACATGTACTTCATGATTATATGTCGTCCATTGCCACTTTAAGGAAAAGCACAAAAGTCTGTAAAAGCAGCTAAATGTACTTTAAGTATTAAGAGTAAAAGTACACGTTACTGAAAATTGGCCCTCTGACTCATGTGACATTATTAAATAGTGTCAGTCACCTCTGAACTGTGAGCAGAGAAAACAGAAGCATAAATCAGAGTGATAAAAAGATCAGAAACGTGTGTTCGTGGATCAATACTCTGCAGTGATGTGAGAATGATTGCATGTGAACAAACAGCAGGCGGCTCTCACAGGTGATTAGAGCTCATTAAGGAAGTCGGATCCAATAATCTCATTAAGATTTCAGGAAGCAAAAATAACTGGAAAATCTGGTTCCCGACTAAATGTGTTGACACGGTAAATAATCAGACCAATAAAGTCGGAAGGAAGTCCGTCAGGGGGGTCGATACCCGAGGGGGTACAAAAGGAGGCAGCTCGGACCCCAACACCCAGTCTGCAGGTCTGATCCAGTTCGGTCTCTGAGAAGGATCTGTCCAGGTGAGTCTCCTCGTACGTCCACTGGAGACATTGTAGTCGCTGAGATGAGCTCGTTCTGTTTATCATTAATATCTCTGCTTGTTCCTTTAACTTGCAGTTAGTCGTGTTTGTAAGTTTGTACATCATTTTTTTTTAACTTTCAGGTAAAAAATTAAACTTTTGAGATCCAACTCTGATGTTGCTGAGAAAAGAAGGAAACTTGTAATTACGATAACTCTGATGTGACCTGAACGTGGCACAAGTGCATTGGTTGTGGCAGCTCCATGGACACTGACTGATCAGAAGTTAAATGTTTATTTATAAAGCTCGGATCACAAACTATGTCGGGGTCAGATGTGTTTTTAATGTAATAAAATTACAGACCTGAAGCTTTCACAAGAGAATTTACAGGCACTATTTCTTGTACGTACGAGCTCTCACCACTAACATTGCAGGTAAAAAACTTTATTTTCAAGCACATCTTGTAAAATAATTGAATATTCCAAAGCTGCAGGGATTTTTCACTGGTGTTGGGGGATCAGGTCTGGCTCACGGGTGTTGGATTGGGTTGAGGTCAGAGCTCTGTGCAGAAAAGAGACGAACACAAAAGATGATAAACTGTTTTCTATTTTATGCTGCAGCCTTAAGATTTTCAGAACAAAAAGGATGCATCCGTCTGTTCGGAGGTTTTGAAATAAAAATCTGATTTGTCTCCGCAGGAAATCAACCTCATCTTCTTCTTCGTCCTAATGATGCCATCCATTAGTGTGACTCAGCTGTTCCTGCTGTTGGTCCTCCTCCACCTCAGCACATCACTTCCTGTCAGGTACCATCACCTGTATACTTCTCTCAGACGCTGCTTAAAAACACCTGCCAAAGAAATCCCTCCCTGCTTCCTTTAAATATAATACCACACTCCGCTTCCACATGATCATGAGAGATTTGTATGAAACAATAGCGGCTGGATAACAAAATACACAACAATTATATCATGTTTAGTTCAGTTTTCCTCTTTCTTCATTTCAGAGAAATCATTTTTCAAATCATCTTCAGGAGGAAAAAAAGGGTTTTGTATTTTCTGATATTGTTCTTTGTATTTGTTTTAAAAATGCATGTTGTGACTTCCTGTCATGTGACCTCAGGGATGAAGAAGAGGTGGAGAGTTTCCTGACTGAGATCAGACACCTGAACGCACCGTGGTCTCTGTCGAGGATGAACTCTGCAGACGCTCTGCTCGAGGCCAGACTCAGGTGAGTTTACACTAATCAAAGAAAAAAACCCTATAGTTGTTAGTGAAGAAAATGAATATGTGGGATTGTTATGTTGGGATGTTTTCAGAGAAAAATCTGAAAAGTAAAAACGCCCGTACACTACCTGCTCAACAGCAAACAGCAGTCAGACAGTTAGAGATTGGTGGTGAACATAGTGGAGCATTCAGCAGCTCAAGATATTTCCCTCAGGAGGCGGTGGAGACCAAAACCAGAGCTAACAGACAGATAATACTGGACTTGCATTCATCAGGTGAGACAAACACAAAGACTCTTAATGAATGACCATGTTTATCTGTAACTGATTGATGTGTAAATACAGTTTTGAAGCCTCGAGTTTGGCATCTTGACCGTTGCCATCTTGTTTCTTTTGGAGGCATTTTTTTTTTTTTTACCATTTTGCACGAGAAGTTTAAGCCCTTCAGCGCTGGCTTCACTCTTCAGATCTGCAGGGTTTCCCTTGGTTCACAGTTTGTTTCTGCTGCCCCCAAGTGACCATAAAATCTGTGACAGCAGGTTGGACTTTATTCAAATTTATGGGAAAACTAAAACATATTTCTCTACTGTGTTTCAGTGTTTCATTGTATTCTGAATCATGTTTATGCAGCTTTTCATTTTAACCTCTACGATGTAGTGTTGAGTACATGGTTAGTGCAAGTCTATAGATACTGTATATTGTCTTGTATTGATAAAAAAAAAAAAAGAACATAAGAAAAACAACCAAACATGAAAGCGTGACGTCAAATCCAGGAAGACGATGCGATTATTGATGCTATTGTGTTTCAGGCAGCTGCTGTCTGCAGGTCTGGACCGCCGGAGGCAGCTGGGAGACATCGAGTTCTCCAACAGATACGCAGAGTTCCTGCGATCTAAAGCCAAACACAGCTCCATCTGCGCCTTCCTGCGCCGCATGCAGGGCGTCAGGAAGAGGTGTGACACTTCAGACACATTAGAACAGCACTCTGCCACTGAGCTGCTCTGCTTTAATTGATGTTTAGCGATTGGGAAACAGCGAAGTAGAAATAACTGAAAACAACCAGTGAATGAAAATAGTATCCGTGTTAAACAGAGAAATTGGGCCTCATGAAACGACTGGACAGGATGAAAGGAGTAGTAAATGCTTTTTAAGGAGATTAAACCCTGCCTTTAAACCGTCACTGTTTCTGTCCACAGCGGGGTGGGAGGAGACACGGAGAAGGTGACCCTGCTGCTGAAACAGTACATGTGTCCGTCCGTCTACAACAACTGGCCGACCGACCTGTAGAAGAGGATGTTAGAAGGACTAATATGGTACTGATGTTCTGAATAAAGCTCTTTGTATGCAGCTGTAATCATATTTAATATGGAAACACAGATATCTTTGTTATTAAAATACATTTTATGAAGTACTTTGGTGTGTTTGGTTACTGTAATACTCTGTATTAGTGAGGACTGTTACATTAATAGGTATTGATGTCAGTTGAAGAAGCTAACAATTCTGATATTTAAAATTAAACTAAGAACAAAGTTTACTAAAATGCTAAAAATTCCCCCAAAACGTGTTTCAGCTCAGCTGAGGTGAAGAACTTAGTTTAGCGATAAAAGCAAGGAAGCGCCGAAAAAAGTGAAACCGAGATAATAAATGATGACGTACAAGAAGTGCGTGTGACTTAGAACACCAGATCAGTGTGGAGCGATGAGACCGTCACCTTCCTCACATCAATACATCAAACAGACACAAATGTTACCGCCCATCAAGGCTTGGGCTGCCTCTCTTTTATTGTTTTATCTCGCTGCGCCCTCTTCTTCTGCAATGGTGTATGAGCAGCTGCGCTCCGGTGGTTTCATCCCCGGCTCCTCCAGTCCGCATGTCAAAGTCCAAAGGTCTTTAAATTAGTATTTTAATATCAAAATGCAGGAAGAATTGAATACCAAGTGTGAACGCAAAGGCTCGTTGATCCCTACACCTCGTGTATCCATACATAGGTCGCATACGAACAACTATTTGTGCAATCTGTTGTAACTTCTCTGTGCTTTGTTGACATGGAGGTCGGCCATGCGTGCCTTTTTAGTGCAAGTTAGTAAGAATCATAAAGTCGAATCTAATAAAAATATTGGAAAGTCGAATCTTACTGACGCTAAATTGAAGCTTTACAGTGTTTTCATCACTACCACATTGCATTGTGGGATATTAACGCGGCGGTAGTGTCCAGTATTTCCATCCTCTAGTATTTCACAGGAAATAGTATGCGGTTCACGTACTGTTGGTTTCGGTCTACTAAAATACATCACATACTGTTTTAATGTACTAAGAAGCATGTTAGGGTGGAATAATTATTAGTTGTTTATTCATGGCGTGCACACACGTCTGCCACAAAAGTTTTGTTTATAATCGTCCCATAAATTATAAAAACTTCAAGCCTTTTGTTATATGATGCAAATATTTTATTTAATATTGGTTTATAAATTGAATTGCAGCACAACTTAACAACTGAGGTCCAGACTACAACACTTGTGAATATGAAAATCCTAAAACTGTAGAAATGTACTTACCTTGGAAGAATTTTCATCAACGGATAAAGTTATAATTCATAATTATTAGAACCTTTGAATCAATAAAGGAGGAAAAGAATGTTGTAAAAATAACTACGTATGTGATAAATCTAGGTTGAGTTCATTGAAGCTATTTTGAACCACTTAACAATAATTAAAAGACTTTTTCTTTTTTATATTAAAGTAGTACTAGTATAGTAAGAGTAGTACTAGATTCGTAAGAGTAGTACTAGTAGCCTATAGTAAGAGTAGTACTAGTTTGGATATCTTCGTGTTGACGTGTAAAAGAGAATAGAAATCTAAACCTCCACATTAAATATACACGTCTGTGGTTTCTTTCCTGTATTCATGCGTTTGTTCCGTCTTTGTTGTCAACCACAAATGGAGACTTGAACTCTGGATGACGGGACACTGGAGAAGAGGATCATATCACATGCTGATATGAAGAAATGAGTTGATAAAAAAACTTAATTAATGACTTCATAAATTCTTTCAACTTCTGTATAAGTGTAAACATGTAACCAGGATGAGCCTCAAGTCAAATAAGGCTTTATATGACATAGCACAAACAGACGTGTGCTATGTTTTTATGACGGGGAAAAGTCCACCGAAGCCATAAAGCTGAGAAAGATAAGTCGAGAGCAGAGACGGATCAGTTCAGACGAGGTGAACGGAGACATGGACGGGATTCATCCATACTTCACCGTGAGGACGTCCGTCTGCTTTTTACTTCTGATTCTGCTTCGAACGTCTGCTGCCAACAGTGAGTACTGAAATCTGCTGGTTGACCTCAGGCTGGTTTTATCTGGTGGTGTCACCTCACAGAGAGTGATAACAGTGTGCTAACATGTTGCCTGTGGTAGAGACAGATGAGTTATAACCACTCGCAATGTGAGAATTTACATAAATAAAATACAAGTGGAATAAAAACCAGAGGGAGCTCAGGCGACTGAAACAGGAAGAAGTGTGACATTGAAACAGCTCAGTGGAGGCCAGAGAGGTGAAGGGTGGAGACCTTCAATTTAGGGATGCAAACTATGATTATTTATCAATTGATCTATGGTTGATTTGGGGCTTTTATTAACCAGCAGCTGGCCATTTAGGGTCCAGTGTAAAGGATTCAACAACGTCTATGAGGTTGCAGTTCGCAACCAACTGAAACTTCTTGAACTTCAGGGGCCGACGAAAAAATGTCAAAACGTGAACGGCTCTATGTCAGGCCAGTGTTTGGTTCATCTGTTCTTGGCTGCTGTAGAAACATGGCGGCCGGCTCCGTGAAGAGGACACAACCTCCTTTTGCAGATATAAACAGCTCCTTCTGAGAGACAGAAACACAGCTATTCTTATTTTCAGCTGGTTAAACACTGTACCTGTAAACCACATTCATACAAAAAAAAGAAAATGTTTCGTTTAAAAAGTTTAAAAAATAGGAAGATGTTTTTTTTTGTCTCCCATCTAGAGTTGCAGTTGTCTCTAAATTGTTTCCGGATCGACCTGTTTAATAAAAGAATTGCAACTTCACTGATCAAATATGCTCCGATCTGGCGGTGCAGGACAACAACCTAAGCTACCAAATGCATAACAAGAATGATTCCATAAAGTAGCTTCAGAGTGCTGTGGCCAAAGCATAGAATAACATGTTACTTACTTGTGATGTAATTTAATACGCTCTGACCAGATTCTACCAAGCTTGTCAAGCTAATACTACGTTTGAACCTTCACATCTTTATTAAGTATTTTTGAGAATATTTCCGTGCATGCCGGGTCTGAACCTCTAAGCACATCAAAGTTTTTCATAATTTTGAGCGATCACTCCGATGCTTTGTGCTGGACATACACAGATGAAACTGTACTGGACTTTTCATTCTCTAATTCATCTCTTCTTCCTCTTTCCCAACAGTCTGTTCTGCAGCTTCATTGGTGAATTTTCCAGAAAACAATACGGTGGGTGCCCTCGTGCTGACGATCGTCATCCAAGCCGGGGTGACCGTCGAGTTCGAACCTCCTGCAAACCCCGACAACCCGTTCCGCTTGGCTGGAAACAACCTGGTAGCTGCGAGGGTGTTGGACTATGAGGTATGTAGGTCGTGACTTATGGTGTCAAACGGATCCAACCCCCTTATCTCAGTTTAGATACTCGTCTGTCAAAATACCTGTTGAGCATAAAAGTTTGGTTTTGTTTGCAGACTGGAAGAACTCATGTAGTCGATATCATCTGCAGTGAAAGGGCCACCGGCAGCATGGTAACTCTTTCTTCATACACTAAACATGTTAAACTCTTTAGACATTGTCCTGTCGTGACTTTTCACTTTGTGTTGTAATCAAACTGTTAAAATGAGCAAATTATTTTTGATGAGGTTCCTGAGGAGATTCTTTAGGTTCTTGGGGTGGTTGTGAAGGTTCTTGAAGAGGTGGTGCATGTGCTTGAAGAGAGGTATCGAGGAGGTTCTCCAGGTGCTTGAAGATGTTCTCTATGGGCTTCAGGAGGTATTACAGGTACCTGATAATGAGGTACAGGTGCTTGAGGAGGTTCTCTGGGGGCTTGAGGAGGTTGTAGAGGTTCCTCAAAGAGGTTCTACAGATCCTTGAGGAGACTGTACAGGTTCTTAAAACAATATCCAGGAGCTTGAGGAGGTTCTCCAGCAGTTTGAGATGCATAAGGAGCCTGTACGATTCTGAAATAAAATGTAGAGGTGCTTGAGAAGGTTCTCCAGGGGGTTGAGGGGGTTGTAAAGGTTCTTTAAAAAAAACTATACAGATGTTCGAGGAGGTTCTCTGGGTGTCTGAGGAGGTTATCCAAGTTTTTGAAAAGGTTCTACTGATGCTTAAGGAGTCTGTACAGGTTAGACAGATGGATGTCAGAATTCTGTCTTTGATTTATTTCATATTCTTAATGTACAGTTACATATTATTTACAAGTTCTTTGCAATGAAAGTTGTATCAAACAAGGATATAAAATCAATAGCAAAACAAGTAGTTTGAACCAGGCTTTTTGTCTCTTTGTTTCCAGTTATCTCTCTCCATTGTTGTAGTTTTGGAAAATGTGAATGATAACCATCCGGTCTTTGACCAGAACCCGTACCACGTCAATGTCAGTGAGGTAAGAGTCTGATGAATACCTTTAGATACACACAAATTATTGTTCAGCATTTCAGCTGTTTGTTTGTTGCCTTACAGACCTGACCAATGACAAAATGTTGTTTTAATGAATTTATTTTCATCCCGTGTTAACATCCAAGTTACTCTGGATTACAGTACACTAGATGGCCAAAACTATGTGGACATACATTTCATGGTTTGGTTACAATGAAAGAAACACAATCCTATTTTAGGCTCTAGTGTGCAGCTCAACACCCATGATTGGAATATCATATTCAACAGATACTTTTGGTATGAATAGGAACTTTATAGGTTTATATGGGTCTATTGATGCAAGTGTCAAAGAGTTTCCAGAAAAAAAAAGCAGTGATGTGGCTGCTGATGTGTAAAAACTGTGATTCAGATTCATATTTAATCACTCTGACGTTTTTTGTCCCAGATGTCTCCTTTAGGCACAAGTGTAGGCCGCTTCGAAGCCACGGACTTAGATGTTCAAACGATCTCCTACACGCTGACGTCTGAATTTGTAAGATCTCCTCCTTTTCTTCTTTTATCTCTCAGTAGGTCCAATATTTAGATAAATCTTCTTGTTGTTTGTCTTCCCCGGAGTCTGATGAGATATTTGCTTAATCTGTTAATACATGCCCAGGAAATATTTAGCTTAGCACAAAGACTGGACGTAGGAGGAAACTGCTAGCTAAAGGGTCGGATCTAAAGACGTTGCATTTCTGCAGAACGGCTTCACGCTGATGTCGTCTACCAACCCGGATCTCCTCGTTGCGATGCGTCTCGACTACGAGAAGGTCCAAAATGTCCAACTGATATTAACCGCTCAGGTGAGTACTGCTCACTGCTGCTTCCAAACTCTGATTTCCCTTTGTCAGATTCAATGAAATCAAATATTTCTTTCAGTGTCTGGAGGTCAGACATGCTCTCTTAAGCGTTTGAGACATCATGTGAATTCTAAAATGATTTTGTTTGTTGTTGACTAAAGCTAACACAAGTCAAAAGGACTCAAATTTGACTGACGCTAATATATATTGTCGTCCAGAGACTTAAATTAAAATCAGGAGCCAAAATAATAAGTGTGCTAATTTGCAGGTTCTGTAAAATGTTTGGATTTTACAGGATGTTGAGTCCCTGAACAGCTGAACCTTGTGAGACAAGTTTCAGTCCAGTTTCTCAGTGATCTGCCGACTGTCGTACTGTAGCTACGTTGTATTAAAATAATCAGATTGTCTCTCTTCTTTTAAAAGGACACGCCGTTGGCCGGTGTTTCATTCACTGCCACCACCACCATCCTGGTCACCATCTTGGACGGTGACAACAGGCCGCCGTGGTTCCAGCCGTGCAGCAAACACGAGGTTGGGGGGGCTGTGATCTGCCAGAGCAACGGCTACACCGGCAGGGTCGTCTTAAACGAACAAGAGGTGCGACACTTTATCTGGAAACTGTATTAGTGTTTTATCCGTGAGCAGCCAATCAGCGAGCTCCCTCACTGAAGTTTAACTTGATGCCATGAATCGTTCAAAAAGGGATATCGGTGCACACGTCCAGATACTACAAGAAAGTAGAAACGTTTTTGTTTTGTTTTTAATATAAAAGCAAAATGTGACAGAGTGTAACGGGAAAACAGACTCTGCATGAAGAACATGATGATTCCACTGAAGAGATGAAAACATCAGCTCTGTGTGGAGCGATGAAGAGACTGTAGCATTCCTCAAATGTATACATAAAGCCGACATAAATGCCATATTTACATTGTGTTTTCTTCATCAACGGCACCCGACTAGAAAATTAGAGCCACCAGCTGTTTATCTCCACGAACCAACTCCTAATAATCGCACAACGGTAGTGTCTGGAAACGGACATTAATTCAGATTATTTTTAATGATTTTCGCTACATTTGGACGGTTGAGCGTATGAAAAGAGACAGAAGTAGTTGTGCGAAGAATGGATAAAGAGAGCTCGACAGGGAAGTTCAAACCCCTACTTTCACACCTCCACACACCTCACCTTGTCCAAAAAAACTATTCTGCGTTCCGAAAGGTTTCAATCTGACAAGCCCTTAGTTTGAAGCAGACTGAGGCATCAATGCAGCCTCTAATGTCTGTCTGTGTTCACGCCAAACGACGACTTCCATCGCCGACTTAGGCACATGATGATGATGATGCTGATGATGATCAGGGTGTTTTGTCCTCTGCAGACCGGAGTGTTACCTCTGGAACCAGGACCGCTGTACGCCATCGACGGAGATTCAGGGATAAACGAGGAAGTGACGTACTCGTTCTTGGCCGGTAAGCAACAGTGGATTGTTCCTCAGTCTGACGTCAACATCCACTGATATAAGTTGTTGATGATCGGCAGGTAGAAGCAGCTCAGTCTGTCTTTGTTTTAGGAGATGGAGGCGGTCTGTTTCAGATCAACCCCAACACGGGGAACATCACCATGTTGAAGCCGGCGGATGTGTTGGAGCCGATCAGTCTGACAGTTCTGGTAAAGAGAAAACTTGTTTTTATCCAATGTGTCGTTCAAATGATGGCGTCTGATCTGTGTTGATGTTGCGTAGTGCTGCAACTGAGTGATCAGAAATGGTTACAGTCCTTCTGTTTGTCTCTCCCAGGCTGCTCAGAAGACAAACAGTTTTCAGTTTGCCACCACCACCGTCACGGTCAACGTTCAGGTGAAGAGTCTCCACCATCCACAGTTTCAGAGGCCTCAGTACAACGGCGTCATCACCGGAGTGGGCATCATGGCGATGGACCTGAAGGCCAAGGATGAGCCGCTGCGGATCCTCGCCACGGACGATGACTACATGGCCACTGGGGTAAAAACACCCTCTTTCCACCCTCCGGTTTTTACCTACATTTTCAGTAGAGTGGAAATGTTGAAGATTTACTTCTGACATTCAGTTTTTCTAAAAGTGAAATTGTAGTTTCTAGTTTTTGTTCTTTTGTCTGTCATCTTTTTATCAGTAATAAAAACATTTTACTCAACAAGTTAATATCTGAGATCGTCAAGAAATTGTCCAGAAACACAAACCTTTGATCGGAGAGGCTGTTTCTTTTTTAAACTGTATTTAGAGGTTAAACTGGAAGGTAGTGCACCTGAATACTTTGCATTAACAGTTCAACATGTTTGGTAAACCCTCTTAACTTCAGCTAACTCTGCTGGCTGAAGCAGCTTTGTTGTGAACTAAAAGCGATGGTCTACTGTTTAACTGAACATTCATCGTACTGTTATTGAGTGTTTGATGGCCGAGGAAGTCTTTCTCGGGAGTTGTCTGTCCACTTGATGTGTTGCACTAACCTTTTCACTTCTGTTAAAACAGGGTATAAATCCCCACATCACCTACTCCTTCGATGGGCACAGTGATGTCTCCATCGTTGGCGGCTATTTGTTCATGACAACGGATCTCCCAGAGCAAACATTATCTCTACAAGTGAGTTAACAACTTCTACTAAAACTTAAAGTCACTGAATGATGATTGTAATTTTCCACTGAAACTTCGTTCTTCCAGTTGGTGGCATTGGACACGGCTAACGGAGAATCAGCTTCAGCACAGCTGTTTTTGGAGGTGACTTCAGGTAGGAGGAAACCCCTCACAGACGGCTCTATTACAGACAACTAAACCGCTCTGGCTCTGCTTCATCAACGCAGCGTTATCCTCCAATGTAACGCAGGACGATCAAATACATGCAAACATGAGGGTCAGAATGAAGAGCTTGTAGGTGTACATTTTGTCCCTGGGTCAACCCGTTCGGTCTGTCTCATTTATTGCGTGCGAAGCAGAGGCTGATATTTCCATTTCAACTGCTTTCGGTTCTTCTTTTTTTATTGTGCCATGTCTCCTCTGTGGCACAGTCCTGTGGTTGGTCTGCTCTCATGTCACCAAAAACTGCAACAGAGTTCACTTGGATGTGGTCAAAGACCTCTTCATGCAGTCTTAGCTAGCTGGAGCACATGTCTGCACCGTTGGGGTCCAGTGATTGTTCGTAGCAAAGTTCATTTAAAAAATCTTCTGGCAGTCAGCTTTGTGCAAATAACTCAAGTGGAAAATTCCGGTCTGAAGAACCATTAAAGTTGGGAGAGAACAGGAGCACGAGGTGAAACCACAACGCTTCAAAGTGTGTTCTCCTCATAGGTCTAACCACCACCAGTTTGCCTCTGAGCACCACAGACAGTATGGCCACGACGTCAATAGGGGAAACCTCCACCGACAGCAAAACCACAGAAGAAGTGTCCACCTCCAACCCCACTGCATCCACCTCCATCAGCCTCTCAACTACCGCCGCTGGCACGACCAGTGAAGGCAGCAATTCCACTATTAATCCCAGTGTGACCAGTGAAGGAAGCGCCTCCACAGGCAGCACAGCTCACCCTCACACAGGTGGTCACACTTTTCTCTCAACACCCTCCGCCATATTGAATGTCTTCCTGTTATGCTGAGATGAGAGCGATCCTCACGCGGTCTTTTAAGTTCCTGTAATAGTAGAGTTCACAATGTGATCAAGAGCAAAGACAAAGTGTCTTGTTGTTGACATGAAAAGCAACCAACCACAGTGACAGCAGTCAATATTTGCACAGACCTTCCTGTAGTCATCCTCCAGCTCAATGCTAAACCAGCTCGACAAAAAAAAAAAACCCCAAACATAAAAAATGTCAGATTTTAGTGTGTCATACAAAAGTCATAAATAATGTCATAGTATAGTATGCCTTAACAAATTTAAAAAAGTATAGTATGTAATTTGATAAAAAAAAGTGCCAAAAAACATCATTGTATATTTTGCCATAAAAAATGTTAAAGCATAAAACGCAAGTGTTAGTGGTGAAGGAGGGAAATTTGTTGCCAGCTGGAGTTCAAAAGGTCTGATGTCATACACTAACCCAGTCCAGACTCGGTCCAGACTATTTATCTGTTTAGAATGTTGCACTTAAGATTTACCGCCACTCTGGTTCCAGATCTAGCTGGGTTTCTGTATTTAGTTGCTTTTGTTCCCGCAGTGATCGTACCGTCCGGTGGCTACGGGCCGGTGGACATGGCAGCGCTCGGTGCGACCCTGGGGGTCCTGCTGCTCGTCTGTCTGGTGGTTATCGTGGTGCTCGCACTTCGCATCCGGAGGGGGGACGCAGACTGGAGGAAGATCTTTGAAGCCAGCGTGTTCCAAAGCTCTGTAAGTTCAAACTGGTTGTGAAAATGCTCGGAGTGAATGAAGGGGCGAGTACAGGGACTCAACTCCGTCACTGATTTAGGATTATTGTGCAGAACACTTTGTATAAGAGACCAACTTAATCTCATTTTAACACATCTATTTTACAGGAATCTGAGACAGAAATCACTTCAACTAATGGTCAGATTTAAATGAAACTTGTTAACACCTCCCCTTTCTTCTAGGTCCATCTTTATTGTTCTAAAGATGGACCAGATTTGGAAGATTTGCGCTCTAGAATTCCAAATGTCTTTCAAAATTCAAGTCATAATCTCTGGAAAGAATTTGGTTCAATAACATTTTGAAAGTCTCCGACGTAGAGTCCTACTGAGCTCGCTCTATGGGCCTAAAAACAGCGGAAGGAAGCCTGCAGAGCCTTTTTCGGCATTTGTGCGAGCAACTTTCATAGGGGAGTTGTTCTTGAATGCTGCATCCTGTTCTCCTCAATACATCCATGAGAACCTTCTTTAAAGGCCCCCAAACCTGGAGGGACTAAGGCCCAATCCCAACCTCCACACTCACAGACTTTGATGCTGCAGCAAAGCCTTGTCCCATTCGTATTTACACCATTTTAAGCCTTCACCGTCTCTCACACTCGACTGTTTAACAGGTGATGTCAGTAAGTCCCTGAGGGTTCAGGGTTTGAGGTTTTACGGGGACATTGGGCCTGAATGTAAAACTCGTGGGAAAAACATTCAATGGAAGCCAGGCCCAATAGTTTACCATAGTGTGGTATGTAATAAACACTGCAGCTTCTCGTGGTCACCAACAGGACTTTGAACTATTAATCTTGATTTTAAGAGAATGTGTTTTCTTTCCACAGCTGGGTCAGGGCGGTCAGAAGGGGGCCATCCAGTACACCAATGAGGCCTTCCAAAACGACGAAGATGGAGACAGCACTGGCTCCGGTGGCCCAGCGGCGGGAAGCGTGAGGGCCGGTGGAGGGGCGGGCGAAGTTCCGCTCGTCGCCAAGTCTCCGGTGCCGCTGCGCGCCCTCCCGCGCGACGACGTCAGCCAGGCGGGCTCGGACAGCGCCGACAACGAGGAGAAGGAGGTTAGACCCATCCTGACCAAGGAGAGACGCGTGGACGACGGATACAAGGCGGTCTGGTTCAAAGAGGACATCGACCCCAACGCCAAGGAGGAGGTGGTCATCATCCCAGACAGCAGAGAGGACGACAGCGAGGAGGAAGACGAGGAGCTGTCGTCCAGTGGCAGAGAGGACGACGAAGACGAAGACGACGGCCCGCGGGTAAAAACCCAGAGGGTCGGCTTTAACGACGCGGATCTGGACAGTGGACTTGGGGTGAAGATGGAGGATCGGGAAGACGACTCGGAGGGTGACGAAGCGTTGACCGTTAGTCTGTGAAAAGGCGCCAAAAGGGAAAGACAAGTACGTAGCGGGAAACCGCCCGTAATAGAAGTCTAATGATTTATCAGCAGTCTTGTAATAATCTGCCTCATCAATTAATGACAGAGGACCAGTGACACAGAACCAGCACTGAACACACCTTATGGAAAACCATTAAAAATATTATATAATTCATAATTAATACGCGCCGTGTGTGTGAAGCTTTTAAATAAATTGAACCTTTTACGGCATTTTATTGTTTATGTAAATACTTCCAAGTGTCATAATTAATGTAGAGTAACCTGAATAAAGATATTAGGTTCATGTTTTAAATCAGTTTCAGGCTACTAATAGTGTTCTATAGACCCCCTAGTGGTCCTTGCTAGTAGTGCAGTTATAGTGAAGATTGTTTTATGAACTTTTTAAAAGGTATTGATTTATATTCACTAAAATCAAATATGTATTTTAAACTTACTAACTTGTGTGTTAAGGCGTTACAGCACATTCTTAATCCTTTATTTTCAAAGAATGAAAGCGAGTTTAGTCTTTTATCTTCTCCTTTTATATATTTGGCAGAGAAGTTCCCAGATTTACTGGTACTTTGAGTTGATGATTCACTGGTTACGATGGTCGTTCAGCACTGACGGATGAATACAATCATGTCGTTTGAATCTAGAAAATGCAGGGAGAGAAACAGCCGGAGATAAAAACACGCACACCTGCTGTTAGTCTGGTGATAATAAAACCCTCCCTGCTGATACCGAAGGCTGTAAAACATCATGACAGAAGCAAACTCTGAACTTACATTAAATAACACAGAGCAGGTAACAGAAACGTTTGTCAGCAGATGAACTGATGGAATGGAAATAAAATGTGTCTGTTGATCGTTTGGTACAAACCGTTAATAAACTCTTATTCATTATAAAGCTATTTATTTATCAGTTTTTCAACCTGTATTGTTTTAACTCATCAAAAAATAAGAGATTCCTGTCAATATTAATTAACTGATTATATTTAATATGTGGTTCATACAGTCTCCTTAATGATTCAAAAAGAGATGCAAACTTTCCTTCTGAAACCACAGAGGAAGAATTTAACCTGCAGATGATTCTCTACTGACACCAACAGGCTGAAGCGGGTACTGCACAGAAACAACAAGACTCAGTGTTTGACATTTGATTTTACTTCAATTTTAAAAAATCTACATCACTTAACACAGAAATCATCTCATTTAAAAAAAAACAAAAAAAAAAAAAAAAAAACACCTATTTGTACAATGACACCATTTTATAAAACCATTAAATCCGAAAGACTCGACAGAAGACGTGAACGTAAACGAGGCGGAAACTAAAACCTGAGAATCCACGAAACAAACGGAGGAAGATTAGGAATCAGGAAGCGCAGAACACACAGTCTAGATGAGGCAACGTGGCGTTAATAACTGGCATCAATACTGCAACAATAAAAAACAAAAAAAGCTAAAACTTTTATTTTCATGAGAAACAAAATCAAAAACTACAAAAGACAAAATACTTGGCAACGAAAGAGCTTTGAGAGGCCCGATCACTGAAGTGAGAAAGATCTATCAAAACATGTTTGAATAAAAACATTGATATAATGTTATACTGACGCTTTCATTAAAATGTATGTTCAATTTAAAAAACAATTATTACCAGAAACATTACCTCATTTTAATCAAAAAGGATCTATTTTGGACAGTTTGTTTTTTTAGACAATTTTTTTTTTTTGAGTGAATTTCCCGTGAAATAAAAGTAATAAATGCTGGTGCGACAGCCTTCAGACTGACAGTTAATAGTTAATACAGAGTGACAGACTGGTGGCGACGAACAGGAACAGACACACTATTATAAAATGTAAGATGGCTGCTCTTTAGCTGGCTAGCAAACACTTCATCAGGACGCAAAATAAGTGGTTTCCTTAATTAATGTAAAAACTAAGAACGCCCGTTAGCACGTCGTCTACTTATCTCGGTTCAAATTTTAAATTAAAAGCTTAAAAGCCAAGTAGCTCAACAATCATTTGTTTGTGAGAACAAATTAGTTTTGTAATTTATTCTGTTTAACACCTGCCGGCTCTGAACAAAGTAAAAAGAGAATCTGGACAGAAAAAATGTCACCGTTTTGTTTTAGCTTGTTTAGCTTTAGCCGGTTAGGAAAAAAAAAAGAAGTTATACTTAAAGTGGCAATAGACAACTTTTCAACTTTCCCCCTCTCGCGTTTACAAGTGGTGTTATTGATCGCTTTCCGTTTTACTCAAAGGCCACTTATTAGCTTTAGTAAATTGTATTTATTCAGACCATTGGGGGAAAGAAAGAAAGAAATATATTATATTAGAATGACTTCCCAATGCGGCTGCAATTTGTTTTCCAAAGTTACGTCGGTTGTTCCACCGCCGTAGCCATTACATCGTGCAAACAACATTTAGGATATATTGATGAGTCAAAGCAAAAAAACTTGTCTATTGACACTTTAAACAGGAGCTCAACATATTTAAAATATATATATATTTTAGCCTTTTGTTTAGCCTCTTAGTCGAGGCTGAAACTCCGTACCAACAAGAAAACACGTCGGCTAACGTTAAGATCAACAACAGTTAGTGAGTTTTAGGCTCGCTTTATCCGTTTGTTTGTTTGTTTACGCACGCATTATGTTTCGCTTACTTTAACATTGGGAGATAGGGCATTTGTGCTGCGTTCAAGTGGTATCAAAATAAATTAAAAAATGTGTTCCCACGTTGGACAAATCTCATGAACACCCTCTCAAGTCAGAACAATATCACAAAAACATATTGTTTACGCAATAATACAGTAGTTTACACTGTTAGCTTTAGCTTGTTAGCTTTTAGCTAAAATAAAAAAGAGCTACATTGAAGTACATTTACTAGTTTACACTGTTAGCTTTAGCTTGTTAGCTTTCAGCTAAAATAAAAAAGAGCGACACTGAAGTAAATTTAGTGGTTTAGATTATTAGCTTTAGCTTTGAAGCTTTTAGCTGAGACACAAAAAGAAGCTACGTTGGTTAATTCTGTGGTTTACATTGAATGTTCTAGAACATTCATACAGAACACAAACCATCAAAAGCATACCATAACTGACTGTAAGGCTTAGCTGCTAAGTACAATACAGAGTCGTACGATGAACTTTTTACAAATCCCTGAAGACACTAATGTAACTTAATGAGGTTTAAAGATGTTAATCTGCTAATAATAAGTTTAATCTGTTGTTTCACAGTAAGTCTAAAACACATTTTCTTTTTCTTCAGAAAAATCGGTGTAAAATATGTCAGTGTGACGCTGCCATAAGGAAAGTAAGTACGGTGTTTCTATCGTTATAAACTGAATATTTTGAACTATTTGTCAGACAAAAGAAAAATATATTGATGGCTTCTGGACAATTCCCCCAAATTTCAAATTTTTTAGACCAACTTATTTAATTTAAATGTAAATAATTGTAAGTTGCAGCCCCACTTTAAAGATCATATTTTTAGTTTTATCACTAGTTGACGCCAAAGTCTTTAAAATGAACAAGTGAGATCTATTATTGTTTGATACAAGTGGGTTTATCCGTTTTATGGTATTTCTGTCTCTTTATAACTTTCACTGATTCGAAGGTCTTCAAATGTCTTGTTTTGCCCGACGAACAGTCCAAAACAGAGATATTCAGTTTTCAACAAAGAACGATTCAAGTTTTTGATTGATAATTGACTTAAATGAGTAATCAATTATCAAAAATGCCAACACCTCACAGTCACCTCACATTGTGTAGTAAACTTTTTGGTGTAATATCTTAATGTACCTCCATGGAAGTAAACTGAAAATACACAACGGCCTCAACAAACCGCGGCGATGGAATTAAAATGCAGAAATGCTTCTTTCGGACTGATTTTCAACAATGCCGTAGCTCGTGTTTCACAAAGCCTACCAAGTAAAGGAGGGATTGTGCCCTTGGAGGGCTTTTAATGTGAAGCATCTGTGCAGGAAGTTTTGAGCTTCACTGACTGCAGCTGAACACGGATAGAATTAAAAAAGTAGAAGCAACTGGAAACAATTACTGATGTTAAACAGAAAGTGTTTGAGTGGTGAGCTACTGTTGTACAGAAATGTTGTTTATAGTGAATTTATCCCGTGAGACCACGTAGCACAGCTAACGTCACCCTCAAAGCTTTGGTCTCTATTTGTTTATGCAGGCGATTATTTGAGAATTTACGGTAAATTAGCAGTCAGGATGGCCGTTCAGTTGTCTGTTCTGTGGGAGCTTTCTGTAACAGTTAAGGAACAGTGGTCAGTTTTGGTCGTATTGGTCGTTGGCTGATTCTGACATAGAATCAGATATTTGTTGGAAATCGGCTGATGTAATATTAATCAATATTTAGTTTGATGACTGAAGGGGCGGCTCAAATCACACGAGAGCAGCTCAAACTAAAATCAGCAGCTGTTTGAAGACGTCAGCGATGAACACAGTGAAGTGTGTGTGTGTGTGTGTGTGTGTGTGTGTGTGTGTGTGAGAGAGAGACGGCAGCCATCTTGTGGAGGTGTTACTATGTCTCCGGGCCGGTGGCTGTCGTCATGTTAAGGATCTTGTTGTACTGAGTGAAGATGGCGTCGAAGGCCTCGTCTCTGTGGATCATCGCGCCGAACACCATGGGCTGCAGGAGAACAGAAGGTAAGTCAGTGTCATTTACTTCTACTTTACTGAACTTCTATGTTATCAATCAATCAGACTGTGTCTATAAAGCACGAGTCATACATCAAATGCAACTCCAAGTGCTGAACATAAAGAGTTGATTAATATAGACACGTGACTGGCCCGCTACCTTTTGTGTGGATGGCGTCGCGATGGAGATGCCCATCCCGGATCCAGGAAGCACCGACAAAACTTTGTACTGTGAGTGACAGAGAAGACAACACGGCGAAATAAACTTTACTGTCACGAATCAGCATCAGTTCCTGTACTGAAACCACAACAAGAGGAAAAACATGAAGCAAACTGGAATTGATGTAATGACGAATAAATGATTGATAACAGGAATACAGAGTATAAAGCAGCCATGTCTTCCTTATCAGACTGTGTAGCACACCGACAGTGATGATGACGAAGGTGACGATGACTGAAGTCCTGTTTCTGTGAGAGGTTCAGCGAGACTCTACGTACCTTCTGGATGTCGGTGATGTCGAGCAGCTTGATGACTTTGTTCCTCTTTGAGGATCCAGATCTGGAGCTGGAGCTCTCGAAACACAGATAGCTGAGGAGACGGAGGTTAAAACTCAGAGCTGCAGGATTTTACGTCTAGTTGATGAATAATTAACTGAACTTCTGTAAACGCGTTGGACGATAAAGTTTGTTTACTAAAACTAATACTTCTTCTTCTGCAGCCTCACAGAATGTAGATTTGATCTCCCTCTAGTCTCTGCACATTTATGAAGTAGAATCATAAAATCTCAGGATGAGCACACATTTTTTGCTCAAGTTGAATATTTTAAAGTCACACAGAGACGTCTGTGCCTCACCATGCCCGCTTACATCGCTCCATTGACTAATTTTAATTTGAAGAGTAACACCTGCTAACAGACATTTATTTAATTGTACATATGCTCAGATACCAGGCAGATCTTCAGGAAGAAAAACAACCAAATTTGACAGAAAAGAATAAAACTGAGCCGACAGGACGTGAGGGCCTTACTTCTCGGTGACGTAGAGGTAACCGTTGCGGATGTAGTCCGTCGGTGTCTTCTTGTCTCTGTTGATGAGGCAGCAGCGCCAGCCGTTCTCACACACTGAGACAACAAACAGAAACAAGAATCAGACAACAGCTGACGCCACCTGCTGCAAGTAGCTTGTTCTGGAGATTTAGGGGTGGAAACATGGTGGTTATTTGACTCATTCCAGTGGTTTTATATATTTTTTTAAGGGCCATAACTGAATAAACAATTCGTTATTTCCCATCAGAGTCAAATTCCAGACAGTGTGAAGACTTCCTAAAAGCATTTGGACTCTTATTTTCGGAGATAAATCTCATAATTTAACATTTTGCTGAATGAACAATGCCTTGGGGGCCTAAATCCTCCCACGGTCCTGCAGAGAAATTTGTAAGAAATGAATAAAATAATCTTCCTCCAGTTTGAATTGTGAAGCCGAGATGCGACGGTTCCTCCCCACCTGTCAGAGGGCGCTCGCTCTCCGGCAGACTGAAGACGTCGTGAAAAGCTCCTCTCTTGGTGCTGGAGTATCGTCCTCCGTCCTCGTCCCGGCTGACGCTCAGAGGAGCTGCGGCGCCGAGGGTTCCTCGGCCGGCCGTCACGGTCAGCTGAACAGGTAGACAGAGGGAGGAGGGAGGAGGGAGGAGGGGGGGGGAGATACTGGATTAGAAAAGCAGCACCAGGTACTGCGGTGGCATCCTCAGCAACACGGCCAGAGAGTGAAGCTGCAGTACAGTCAACAAGAACAACTCACCTGTCCAGGTGTGTTCACAGCTGTTTGACAGATTAGGTCTGAACTCTATGATCGCTTCTTTTTCACTTTGTCTGTGTTGTTGTTCTTAAAATGTGCCAAAAATCTTCTGATGACATACATACACATACATACATACACACAGCATCCGGAAAGTATTCACAGCACTTCACTTTTTCCACATTTTGTTATGTTACAGCCTCATTCCAAAATGGATTAAATTCATTATTTTCCTCAACATTCTACACACAACAACCCATAATGACAAAGTGAAAACTGTTTTTTGCAAATTTTTGCAAATCTATTAAAAATAAAGAACGAAAACAACATCTACATAAGTATTCACAGCCTTTGCTCAATACTTTGTTGAAGCACCTTTGGCAGCAATTCCAGCCTCAAGTCTTCTTGGGTATGATTCCACAAGCTTGGCACACCTATTTCTGGGCAGTTTCTCCCATTCTTCTTTGCAGAACCTCTCAAGTTCCATCAGGTTGGATGGGGAGCGTCGGTGCACAGCCATTTTCAGATCTCTCCAGAGATGTTCAATCGGGTTCAGGTCAGGGCTCTGGCTGGGCCACTCAAGGACATTCACAGAGTTGTACCGAAGCCACTCCTTTGTTATCTTGGCTGTGTGCTTCGGGTCGTTGTCCTGTTGGAAGATGAACCGTCGCCCCAGTCTGAGGTCCAGAGCGCTCTGGAGCATGTTTTCATCAAGGATGTCTCTGTACATTGCTGCATTCATCTTTCCCTCAATCCTGACTAGTCTCCCAGTTCCTCCCGCTGAAAAACATCCCCACAGCATGATGCTGCCACCACCATGCTTCACTGTAGGGATGGTGTTGGCCAGGTGATGAGCAGTGCCTGGTTTCCTCCAGCCATGACGCTTGGCATTCAGGCCAAAGAGTTCAATCTTTGTTTCATCAGACCAGAGAGTCCTTCAGGTGCCTTTTTGCAAACTCCAGGCGGGCTGTCATGTGCTTTTTACTGAGGAGTGGCTTCCGTCTGGCCACTCTACCAAACAGGCCTGATTTGTGGACTGCTGCAGAGATGGTTGTCCTTCTGGAAGGTTCTCCTCTCTTCATAGAACAACACTGGAGCTCTGTCAGAGTGACCATCGGGTTCCTGGTCACCTCCCTGACTAAGGCACTTCTCCCCCGATCGCTCAGTCTGGCTGGGCGGCCAACTCTAGGAAGAGTCCTGGTGGTTCCAAACTTCTTCCATTTCCGGATGATGGAGGCCACTGTGCTCATTGGGACTTTCAATGCTGCAGAAATTTTTGTGTACCCTTCGCCAGATCTGTGCCTCGATACAATTCTGTCTCGGAGGTCTACAGATAATTCCTTGGACTTCGTGGCTTGGTTTATGCTCTGATATGCACTGTCAACTGTGGTACCTTATATAGACAGGTGTGTGCCTTTCTAAATCATGTCCAATCAACTGAATTTAGCACAAGTGGACTCCAATCAAGTTGTAGAAACATCTCAAGGATGATCAGTGGAAACAGGATGCACCTGAGCTAAATTTTGAGTGTCATGGCAAAGGCTGTGAATACTTCTGTACATGTTATGTTTTTGTTCTTTACTTTTAATAGATTTGCAAAAATTTGCAAAAAACAGTTTTCACTTTGTCATTATGGGTTGTTGTGTATAGAATGTTGAGGAAAATAATGAATTTAATCCATTTTGGAATAAGGCTGTAACATAACAAAATGTGGAAAAAGTGAAGCGCTGTGAATACTTTCCGGATGCACTGTATACACATAGTGATTCTTAGAGTCTTACCAGTAGTGGAACTAAAAATGAAGGTGGCGCGAGAGGAAAGAACCGACAAACATTCATTCACAAAGTGGTGGTAAAACCGAACCCAAAACATACGTAAACACAAATAAAATGTTGATACAAACCTTAAAATTTGGGTAAAAACAGGAACACTTGGTAAGATTTAATCTGAGTTTGTCCTCAGGGTGGCGCTAGAGGAAAGTGGTCATTAACATCTTAAGTGGACAGAAATCCTGGAGACGTATCAACGTGTAAACCATCGTTTCAAAGTTGGATCGTCTTATGAAACGCACTCAAATTAGCATTTTTTATTTTTTTACAACAAACACTTTCCAGAAAAGCAGCAGTTTTACGACCTGCGCTCTCCTGATGTCAGCAGCTGTATCTGTTTGATCTAAAGCCTGCGTGACAACATCAATGTTTGTTGCACTTTTTCGTGAAACCTGAAGCAGGAATCCACAAATTCAGAAAAGATCCAACTTGAAAATTGAGCTGAAGACAACAAAGATTTTGACTCAACCCAGTTCAGGTAAAAACATTAAATTTGGATACAAACCTGAAGCGTAAAAGCCTGAATGTTCAAGTTGGATCTGATCCGAAGTTCGTCCTGCAGGAGGCGCTACAGGAAAGGTTACAATCTAAAGGGTTCATCCTCTGGAGAGCGGGAGTGAGACATTCACTGACACACCGACTAGTAGGTTTTGATATATCTCACTCCAGAACAAATCAGACCATCACTGTGACTACTAACAACAACAACAGCTGATTGTATTGATTCTACATCTCTAATAAACAATACTGACCTCTACACTGCGACTATACACACACACACACACACACACACACACACACACACACACACACACACCGTGGTCCTACCTGTTCACACTCAGACAGCTGAGAGAGAAAAACAACAACAGAGGAGTGAAACCACCACAGATCAGATCCCCCGCTGGGACCAGTAAGAACCGGTCACCAGTTTGCACCAGGTGTCACCAGACCAGCGCTTCGGGTCTGTGAGCCGGACACTTATCAGAGAGTTGGGACTGACCCGTCTGCTCAGCGTGGTGCCGCCGCGCTCCTTCAGCTGCAGGTCGGTGGGTAAGTTGGTCCAGATGATGTACGGAGTGTCGAAGCGCTGCCTCAGCTTGGGACAACTCTTAAAGATGAAGTCGATGATGAAGAACTTTATACCTGCGTACACACCTGAGGAGGAGGAGGACACCGATCAGAGACACTCTGCAGGACTGAATCACACACACTTGCTCTAATTTTCACTTCTTGGATCTTTGTCTTGTTCTCCGTGTACAGAAACTAAATATATATTTGTTGTGAAGAGGACTTTCTACAACCTCAGAGCATGAAAGAGCATTCAGCCGTCTAGAGGAGTCCTCTCAGACAGGTGTTGTGTCGTACCTATGAAGAAACCCAGCAGTTTGAACGGCAGCAGGCAGGACGAGATGAAGGCCACCCACAGACCAACGTACAGCTTCTGAGTCAACTCTGGCTGAACCCACATGAACAGACTGCGCGCGCGCGCACACACACACACACACACACACACACACACACACACACACACACACACACACACACACACACACACACACACATTAAAGATCTTTGGATGAACCACGAGTTCACTTTAACCTGAAACAAAGTGTGTGCAGAGAAAACTCACTTCTTTATTTTCTCCAAGATGTTTGCCATCTTCCCAAACAGATTCTGTAAGGACCAAACAAAAACAAACAAACACATGTTGTGAAATCTGCCTGCAGGTGTCAGACGGTGACCGAGAGCCTCCGGCTGCTCCTTCACGTCTCACCTGAGCTTTCTGAGCGACGTCCAGAACCAGCTGGAACTTCTCCGACACCGTGAGGTCTTCTTTAGGAGGCTCCTGTGAAACGGAGCAGACCTGTCAATCACCTGCACACTGATTTACTGCGGGACAACTTAAGCAGAGTGATTGTAAACACCTGCCGGCTGTGCGGAACCTCTAACTTGTAAAAAGTACAGTATAAAGTTACATGACAAAGAAATACTTAAGTATATTATCTACAAGTACCTACATGTTGTATCCAAGAACAGTAACATTTATGAACTCATCTCAAAAAGGCAAAATCTGAGATCCAAATGTTAATTATATCAATCAAAGCCTCATTCCTTAATTTGACAGTGCATGTAATAACGTCACATGTCCATCAGGTGGAGCTGTTCACTGTCAGATGAAACAAGAAAGATTTAAAACTAAATCAAAGACAAGAGTAAAACAAGTTCTCTCACCACAGGCTCTGAGACTTCAGGTACGATGCTCCACTGGATCCTCCAGCCTCTGAGAGAAGTGCATCATGGGAACACACAGGTGAGATGTATGACATCATTTCACACTCACGACATATCCGTGTGTCTGGGATTTAAATTTCAAACTGCTCAGATTTACCAGGTGGTTTTAAAAGATAAGAAACCTTTCTGTGGTGTCGCTTTTAAAATCAGTTTCCTTTCCTTTCCCTGACTGAAGTATTTTAATCCATTTAACCTCTAAAGCTACTTAAGAGGAAAAGAAGGGGGGGGGGTAGTTTATAGTTTAAAAGAAAGAACTTAACAAAAGCCCCCTGTAACAACCCAATCAAGGGCTGGCCTGTAGTGGTTTACACGTTTATTAGGAGGAGAGTGTGTGTGTGTGCGTGTGCGTGTGTTTGAGAGTGTGACGCACTGTTGCAGAGATTAAATTCTGTGCTGAACCTGGTTTACGGTTTCTGATTCTGGCCGTGTGATTGGCTGACAAAGGGGGGGGGGGGGGGGGGGGGGGGGGG